CTCCCGTCAAATGACACGTTGCAGTAGCGAATCATTAAATACAAAAGCGCCCTTACTTTGATTTAGCCTTATGATACTGCGTACATTTATTTATGGTATGATGAGCTTTTTTACCCATGTTTCTGTCTTATTGAAAACATTGATTTCTCAGTTTCTAAATTTTTACACAAAAAAAAGAGACTTTCAATTGTTCTTTTGTGCTCAAAATACTCAATTCAGGAACTTGTCTCACGAACGGCACGGGTAGTGGTGCCGCCAGCAGCGCAGACAGTCGAGAAGAAACTTGGTTCTTCCGATAAGAGTAGCGCGGCTTTAACTTCGCCTCTTCATAAGGGATCACCAGCAAAACTCGACATCTCCCAGCTCGCACTCATCGATGAAAGAGTCAGAGCCAAAATTTTGGAGAAAGGCCGTAGGAAACAGAATGTTAGGCATCGCTTAACAACATTATCTTCGAATTCCAACGAATTGAAGAAGAAGTCGGGAGAGGTTCCCCCTTCCAGAGCTCCAACAATAACGAATAGCAGTAGCCGCTCTGTTGAAATTCACAATAACATGCGATCCTCTGAAATGCTATCTTCAACAAAGGAGATTGCACCATTATTGTCGTCGCTCTCAGTGAAAAAAATCCCTTCAAAGCCACCGAAGCGATATATTTCCAATTCTCGTCGTAATAAACAGGCAGTCTTCAGTAGCAATGTCATGCCTCCACCGTCTCCACAAAGCACTACGAAGGATTTCAATCGTGAGTAGCACTATTCTCCAAACTTTGTTTTCAACTTCCCTCCCTTATGTTAGAGAAAATACGAGCTACATTGATTATCTTGGAGCCTACATTGAGTAACTGTATATCTAAAAAACTTCGCTCCCCTTCAATCTGAAAAGTGCGAAAGCGATATTCCACTACGGATATATAGACCATAGGTTAGATACATAGAGCCACGGCTCTGGTCACCTTCACTAATGAGCGAAGAAAGGGTAGGACATTCACCAAAGGAAGTTTGAGTAAGTCAAGGTCCGGGGCGAAGCCCCGGACCCTGACTTTTTTACACACTG